CGCGTATGATAATGCGCAGTATGGCTAATTGATGATTACTTTAGAGACACGCAAGGATCCTGGAAAAGGGAGAACAAAAAATATAATATGCAAGTAAGTTTTAAGGTCGACAAGATCGTTGCCTCTATTTCGAGTGGCATCTCTCTTGTTGTTAGTTAGTTATTAATTACTGCATTATCATCATCCAAGTATGTAAAGATTTACATTATTTTTTTTTTGCACGACACGTTTCTTACATCACGCTTAAGCGCTTTGTGTCATACGAATTAAACGAGTCATGTATTTTATCGAACGTTTCTTGTCTCTCGAACGTTAGTCGAACACATCTCCGTTATCTCCGATCGTGAGACTCGCGTGATTTAATAAGTAAAACATATTACGAACGTATTATTATGAACGCGGGCGAGTATAAACCCGGGCTGTATTACGGCTGTATTAATTTAGGTGACTCGCGAAATTAATCCAGTGCGGCTTGGCCGCCCGTTCGAAACAACAATCGCTCCCACGGGAGCGAGTAGTCGTTTGTGCTGGATGGAAGTTTATTATACTAGTTTTCTATTATACAACCACTCTTCCGCAATTGCATCTGCTTCGAGCTCGCGTGTAAGTGGGCGATTTACATCCGCGTACGACGCGGATATACGAGAATGATCGCAGAAAATTTATGGCCAATGAAAACGCGTATTGATTCCGCGTGTAGCAACGCGAAACGCGTGTTAATAATCGCGTGGACGCTCGCTTGGACGCCAACAATTGCGTCGTTAGTAGTCTTATCAATGGCGCGACGGCGATTCTGAAATGCTCTATCCTCTATCCTCTAACGGACGCAAATGCAGATGCAAAAGTGTATAAAGGTATTTATTCTTTCACGCGGTTTATTTTATTTACGCGTTACGTTACGAAAAACAATTGGGAAACAATATTTTTGATAGTACTGTGATAGCATAGCACATTGTTACGCACGTTGCAAGTTTTTTCTTGCATTTTATGAATTACTTGCTAAATTATAATTTATTTATTAAATCTCTTCATTTAAACAAGGTTGCCGAGATATAATTCTTCTAACGTTAACTTTTGGCTGTTCGTTTAACATGGATTCGCAATTGAGAACTCTATTCTTGTCGCTGTATCTCTTTGAACCTTGACCTTTTCACTGTCTTATTGAGCTTATTAAGCGAGATCTCTCCTATCACGCGTATCTCTCCGCAATTCGAAGTATCGGTCTGGAATTATAGTCGACTGATTTAAGTACTTGAACTAAGTCCTCGAGCTAAATTGAACGTCCAGCGATTAAACGCTTGATTTTAACGGCGAATGCATCGATAATTACTAATACCTTTCTCGCTCGCTTGTAAGTTGATTGAAATTTGTCCCAACGGTCACGCTGCTAATTGATATAAATGTGACCCGGCGCCGGCGCCGGCGCCGGCGCGCCGATTACACGGTGCGAGCTCCCACTTAAACGTCATGCGCGTCTTCAGCCCCGTGAATTCTTGTCTTCTAGGCCTCAAAGTC